TGCTTTGATAATTCTCAATTTATCTTCGTTAGAAAGGAATGATTCTGGGCTAGCGAGAAATCTCGTTCCCATAAGAATACCAGTTGCACCCTATAATTAGTAACAAGGCATGTTATCCAGATGATTCAAATCAGTGAGTGTCATACCATATCTAATGCCGTAATTAGTCCATTTTCGTCACCGATTCCACCTGCTGCAACCAACGGAACAGTTTTACCTAATTCTCTTAACTTTTTCTGTAGTAACGGCAATAACGTCCACGTTGACAAGCCGCTTTGTCCATGTCCACCAGCTTCTTCCCCTTGGCATACGATAACATCACTGTACTCAGCAGCAGAAATCCCATCTGAAATAAATAATCAAACTTGATACTAGCAAAAACCCGAGTGGAAAAAAATCAGCCTTACTTACCCTGTACATTTTGTATCTGTGATATCACTTCAATTCCAGCTTGCTTTACTCTCTGTGCATATGCTTTTGCATCACCAAACGAAAATAATATGGCTGTTGGCTTAGCTGCTAAGACATATTCAAATGCTTGGGGAAAATATGGTAGTCCTAGTGTAATTAAACCAACACCATATTTCAGTTTGGTACCATTAGAATATTTTGTATTGTTACACTGAATAATTTGTTGTTTTAACCAACTGAAAGCATTACCAGCACCACCAGCTATTAATCCTGAAGATTTCAAATTTCTTGTAAAAAATGATGAGATGTGTTTGAGATTCTTACCTAATCCACCTGCTTGGCTGACAGCTATGGCTAAGTTTGCCCCAGCTGCTCCGCTCATTGGTGCACTTATTATTGGATATCGAATATCAAAAAGTGTCGTTAGATCTGTTGATAGTAGAGATGGTCTTGAATTATGACCTGAACTCATTTTACTACAATACAAAAAGAAAAAAGTCGATTCAGTTACGGACATTTATCTTTGTTTCCAGTGGGAAATATAGCTGCATATAGCTGTTTGCATTATCAAGCGTTAATGACACAGCAAAAAACTTCCTTTTTCTTTACTCCATCAACAAAACAAAAAGAGAAAAGAAAGAAACGAAACAACTGATATGTGAGAACATAAAGATGACATCAGTACGATATCACTGGTAATAAAGAGTTCACACAACCCAAAAAAAGAATTTTTTTATTTTAGATATAGAGAGTTCGAAAAAAAGACGAAGTAATGAACTATTTTTCTTGATCTCATAAGTTGATGGCGCTATCGTCAATATTTTTCGAAAAGAGAACATGATAGCAATAAAAGAAAATGACTCACGACGATGCAAACTAAAGAATATTTTTTATAGTGTACAGAACGAAACCCTAGCTTAACAGATAAACGCTCCGCGTATCTCCTGAAGGGAGCCGCCAGCTTTGCCTCGTACTTGTTCCCTTGGCTTTAACCTAAGATACTATCAGGATTTCTAATAAGAATTTTGAGCAGCCCGTACAGAAGCATAGTAATTCGTGGATTTTGTTGTTCTGTCTTTTCCTATTGGTTGATACAGAGCGTATTTTCAATCCCTTTCGCGTACCGTATGCTTTGAAACAAAGAGGTACGCGTACCGTTAGAAACAGATTGTTCCTTTTTTTACTGAGAAACTGAACTGAACTGAACTGGGTTTCTGAGTCATCAGAGCGTAAATTTTTCTATCACCCAATCAGAAAAGTTCAGTAAAATCAGTTTCTCAGTAAAAAAGGGACAACCTAGAAACACTGGGCATTACAAATTAGAAAAAGGCTTTTGCGTTCTGTCTGTTCTCAAAACACGGAAATGGAAAACATGGAATCATCTGGATAACATGCCTTGTTACTAATTATAGGGTGCAACTGGTATTCTTATGGGAACGAGATTTCTCGCTAGCCCAGAATCATTCCTTTCTAACGAAGATAAATTGAGAATTATCAAAGCA